CAGGAAACCGAGCAAGATCAAATCTTATCAGTCTGTGACAAGGTACAAAGATGTTCATAACTCACTGAATGGATCTGAGGGACTGAGGATCTACTTTTTCCTTATTTACCCCAGTCCCCACTTTATATGAGTAAAGATCTTCTGTAAGACTAAACTAGTAACAAACTAGAACATCCATACAATAGAACAGTACTTAGCAGTAAAAAGGGAAGAACGACTGATATGGGCAACAACTTGGATAGACTTTGAGGGCATTATTCCTAGGTTTTTCTTTTCTTTTCTTTCTTTCTTTTGTTTTTTTTTGTGGGACTGGGATTTGAACTCAGAGCTTCCCACTTGCCAAAGAGCCACCCTACCACTTGAGCCACACCTCTAGTCCATTCTGCTCTGGTTATTTTTGGAGATGAGATCTCATGAACTATTTGTGCAGGCTGGCCTCAAACCTCAACCCTCCCGACCTCAGTCTCTCAAGTAGCTAGGATTTCAGGCATGAGGCACCATTTTTTTTTTTTAAAGCTAACTTCAAAAGGTCACATACTCATGATTATATTTATATAACATTCTAATTTTTTTTGACACAGGGTTTTACTATGTTGTCTGACCTCAAACTTCTGGTCTCAAGCGATCCCTCCTACCTGTGCCTCCCTAGTAGCTGAAACTAAAGGTGTGAAGCATTGTACACAGCTTGTATATAACATTTCAGAAATTACAAAAATACTGAAACGAAGAATAACTCAGTGGTTTCCATGGATTAGAGAAGGGGTTGGGGTGGTCATCACTATAAAGGAACAGGACAAAAGAGTTCCTTTACAGTCACAGAAGTTTTACACATTAAACACCTTAAGTAGTTATATGAGTCTACATATGGAATAAATTGCCATAGAATTATACACAAAGATATGCAAAAAAAAAAAAAGTACATGCAGGACTGGGGATGTAGTTCAGTGGTGGAGTGCAGGTTCATGCACAAGGCCCTGGATTCAATCACCAGCACCACCAGGAAAAACAAAAAAAGCATATGCAAAACATCAAACTGGAGTAAGGTCTATAGACCTTATTGTTAATTATATTGTTCCAATATTAGTTTCCTGGTTTTAGCCAGGCTCCAGTGGCTCACACCTATAATCCTAGCTACTCAGGAGGCAGAGCACAGGAGGATCATGGTTCGAAGCCAGCCCAGGCAAATAGTCTGAAAGACCCTATCTTGAAAAAACCCTTCACGAAAAAGGGCTGATGGAGTGGCTCAAGGTGAAGACCCTGAGTTCAAGCCCCAGTACCACCAAAAAAAAAAAGTCCTGGTTTTGCTGATGTAGAGTTATATAAGATGTCACCATTAGGGGAAGTTGGGTGATTGGTAAATGGGTCTTTTCTTTGCTATTTCTCCAAGTTTATGATTAACTCAAAATAAAAACTTTAGGGCTGGTAAAGCTCAAGTGGTACAGCACTTACCTAGCAAACATGAGGCCGACTTCAAATCCCAGTATTGCCAAAAAAAGTTTAATTAAAATATATATATGTATATAATTATATATTTTTTTGGGTAGGAATGGGGTATGAACTCAGGGCTTTACATTTGTGAAGCAGGCGTTCTACTTCTTGGGTCACACCTCCCGGTACCTTTTGCTCTGAATGTTTTTTTGGAGATGGGAGTCTTGTGAACTATTTGCCCAGACTGTTCTCAAACCTCAATCCTCCTTATCTCACCCTTCTGAGTAGCTAGGATTACAGACATGAACCACCAGTGCCAGCTTAATTAAAAATATTTGAGTGCAGTGGAGTGTGCCTATAGTCCTAGGTACTCAGGAGGCTAAAGCAGAATAGTTTGAGCCTAAGGGGTTCAAGGCCAGCCTGGGCAACATAGTAAGACCCATATCTCAAATAAATGGAAGGAAGAAAGGAAGAAAGGAAGGAAAAGGAAAAAAGTAAAAATAAAGAAAAAAGAAAAAAAAACCAAGTTGGTCATTTACTAGCTTTTAGGTTCTGGTATAGGCAAAAATAAAACATAAAAACCCCTCATGACACATTCTGGTGGAGGAAAATAGATAAGAAACAAAAAAAAAATAGATATGAGGTAGGCACGGCAGATACACACTAAGGGGACCTCCAATGATACACGTCCTTGTATAACCTCTACTTTTTTTTTTTTTTTTTTGGCAGTAGTGGGGTTTGAACTCAGGGCCTCATGCTTGCTAGGGAGCTGTTCTACCACTTGAGTCATGCCCCTAGTCCAAATCTCCATTTTTTTTTTTTTTTGGTGGCACTGGAGTTTGAACTCAGGGCCCATGCTTGCTAGGCAGGCACTCTAGCACTTAAGCCACTCAGCCAGCCCTTTTTCTGTGATGGACTTGTGTGTGTGTGTGTGTGTGTGTGTGTGTGTGTGTGTGTGTGTGTGTGTGTGTGTGTGTGTGTGTGTGTGTGTGTGTTTGTATGATACTGGGCCTTGAACTCAAGGCCTACACATTGAACTACTCCACCAGCCCTTTTTTTTTTGTAATGGGTTTTTTCAAGATAGGGTCTCATAAACTATTTGCCCAGGCTAGCTTCAAACTGACCTTTGACTCCTGAGTAGGTGTGAGCCACCAGTGCCCCATTCTTGAGTATGAGCAAGACCTGTGATTTGCTTCAACCCAATAGATTATGACAATGCCAACAGGATGGAATCCCATGATGAGGTCTTGTAATGTGGGCAAAGTTGATAGGTGGTGCTCCTGTGATTACCTTCTGTTATTTGTTGACACCTTGTTGGCATACACAAGACTTTCCTCCTAGCCTTCAAGAAGAAGGCAAGAAGCAGCAGCAAGCTATGATGTGACAGGTCTATGGAGAGGGACACATGGCAGGGAACTGTGGGTGGCCTCTAGCTGATGAGGGCCTCATTCCTACAACAGCAAGGAAGTGAATTCTGCCAACAATCATGTGAGCTGGGAATAAAGTGCCAAGCTTCAGATGAGACTGCAACCTCAGCTAAAACCTTGACTAATCTTGGAGACCCTGAGTGGAGGAAAAGTTAAGCTGTGCCCAGAATCCTGACCCATAAAACTAGCAAATGTGTGTTGTTTAATACCACTAGACTTGTGATAATTTGTTAAATAGCAATGGAAAACTAATAGAGCAAATAAATATATATATCATGTCAAAGGTAAATGCTTTAGAGAAAAATAAGGCAGAATGAGGGGTTCTGAGAGTGTATGTGTGTACACACACGTGTGTATCATATAGTTTTCTAAAGAGTGGTCAGGGAAGGCTTTGCTGTCGTGTTAAATGTTTCAGTCTGTGGGCTCCATTGGGGGAGAAATGGCCATGCTATTACTGAATGCCAAGGGCCTGGCACAATGCAGGGGCTCTGGAGCTAACCATGTCTACAAGTGAGTCTTGTTTTCAAAAACTCTAACTTCCTTACTGGCACAGAACTACTTTTTTTTTTTTTTTCTCCATAGTCTCCCAAATACCTACCCTACAAGTTAGCATTCAATTATCCTGGAACTCATTCTCAATCTCCAACTTTCTCCCTGGCCCACCCTTTTATTCTAATCTGATTCTGGGTCACCTCTCCATGTCAGGATCACCTTTTCCAGACGGGTCTCCAGTTCTGACACTTCAGCTTCCACCAGCTCGATAGAGGCTCTGGGAAAGGAGGAATGGGGTCATGGGAACAGACCTTGGATCCATCAAGCACGTCTACCTCAATAAGATTGGGGTTGGGGTCGTGAGGTGTTGGGTACAGACAGAGAAAGTCACTGGGTTGAGAAGGGCCACCCACCTGCCTGTTCTTACTCACTTTGCACAGTCTAAGCTATCTATAACCCAGGCCAGAGCAGGAAGAGTAGAAGGAGGGTGGATGTGGTGAGGACAGGAAGTTGGTAACCACCCCAGATGCTGGGGCGGCCCAGGTGCTGGGGGAGGGGCAGGGATCCCAGTGAGAAGGAGGAGATAATGACAGCTCTGAGGGGCTCAGAAAGGACAGAATGTGCAGGCAGGGGGTGAAGTACACTGCAAACCCGTTTTAATAGCATAGATATTACTTTGGCCTAGCAGTTCTTTCTTTCTTGTCCCTTTGAGGCCTACTCCCGGGAGGGAAAGCTGTGTGTGTGCGTGTGTGCGTGTGCATGTGTGTGTTTTATGTTAGGGCATATTGGACCTCCCCTTCCTCAGACTCCCAGATCTTCACACACTTACCGGAAGCGGGGTGAGTCCTTGAGACACTCTTCAAAATCCAGCTTGACCGTCATCTCAGCTTGACTTCTGTGGTCTTGGGGTCTCTTCAGAGCCAGGCAAGTGAGGATGTAAATGGAGGCACTCCCTACCCCAGGAGGGGTGTTGATGAGAAAGGAGGAGAGGGTCCTCTGTTGGGTAGTACTAGGGACACAATTCTTTCCCCAAGGGAAAGGGGTGTCCTAGGAGGAGCTCTCACCCTACACTTCCAGGCAGGGCTGGGAGGGGCAGGGGTGGGGCCTGGGCGGAGGAGGGGGGGCCTGAGATCAGAAAAGCCACAGCCCCACCCCCCCCAGAGACTATCTGTTGTCATCTTCCTCTTGGGAGCCCTGGTCTCTTTCTACATCTTTCTCCTTTAATGAGTTTTGGGGCCTGACAATCTAGATTCAAATCCTAGCTGTCACTTAAAGGTTGGGTGGGCAAGTTCTCTGATTCCTGTTTCCTCATCTGGAAGATGGAGATAAAACCCACTCCCGTCCAGGGCTGTCATAAGAAAGATGTGGCTGGGAACCAGTGGTTCATACTGTAATTTTAGCTACTCAGGACATGGGAGATCAGGGCAGCCTGGGAAAATAGTTCAAGACACCCTATCTTGAAAATACCTAACACGAAAAAGGGCTAGCAGAGTGGTTCAAGTGGTAGAGTGCCTACCTAGCAAGCATGAAGCTCTGAGTTCAAACCCCAGTTTCACCAAAAAAAAAAAAGCCTCATACCTGTAATCCTAGCTACTTGGGGCGGAGATCAGGAGGTTTGAAACCAGCTGAGGCACAGTTTGTGAGACCCTATCTCTAAAAAACTTACCACAAAAAAGCGCTGGTAGAATGGCTCAAGGTATAGGCCCTGAGTTCAAACCCCAGTACCAAAAAAAAGAATTAAAGATGTTATTGGTAAACTCATGGCTAACCGGTTACCTAATTAATTGCATAAATCATTGTGATCCTGCTACAGTTTGGGACTTCATAAGATCCTAGACTCTGGTTTTTGTTTGGTGGGACCATGGTTTGAACTCAGTCTTCATGCTTGTAAAGCAGGTGCTCTATTTCTTGAACCACACCTCCAGTCCATTGCTCTGGTTATTTTGGAGATGGGGATCTTGGGAACTATTTGTCCAACCTGGCCTCAAACCATGACCCTCAAGATCTCAGCTTCAATTGGGATTGTAGGTGTGCCCTGCTGGTTTGGGTTTTTTGAGACAGGTTCTCACCATGTAGCCCAGGCTGCCCTTGACCTGGAGATCCTGCCTTAGTACACTGAGTGCTGGGATTACTGATATGCACTAGTACCCCTGGCTCAATCCTAGGTTCCTGTTGAGTCCAGGAACTCAACTGGACTGCTCCCAGCTTCCTTGTTTCTGCACTGCTTTCCTCATTGCTTGTGTGTGAACACCACTCCCAGCCCCCCTGCTCCTTGACCAAACAGGCCCAGCCTGAGTGCCCAATTCACAGCATGGATTCTTGATCTTCTCTTTATTGTCTAAACTAAGGATGGTGGGGGCAGGGGAAAGTTGCCCTTATCCCACTCCCAGCTGACTACATTTTCCATGGTCTGGTTTCCTTTCCCAGAGTCCACTGGAGCTTCGGGGTTTCACCTGGAGAGAGAAGAGGTCAGGCTAGTGGCCTTCTTGCAGCAGGCATGAGATCTTATCCATGTGACCCCCAAAATCCCTAAAATCTACCCACTCAGCTCCTCTGCCTCCCTGTGAAAAGCCAGTGAAAGCACCCCTTGCCTCTGCCCAGGGTCACGTCTTTGCCCAGTCCAACTTGGAGGGTTCTGGCTACTTCCGCATTCATTTTCTGAGCTCCCTGGGCTTTGACAGCTCAGTCCCTTGGTCCCCAGCCACTGATCCCAGTTAGATGCCATCTGAGATGCATTGTCTTTGCAGGACATGGTGGTGCCTGGAGTGGGGTGAGATGGCAGAGAAGAGTCAAGGAGGAGGCACTAAGCCAGGTTGGATAGGGGTCCCAACCCCTTCTGAGCTTCCCTGGCTCCTCTATTGTACAATGTTAGCCTTGCACTCTGGGAAGGTTAGGGCCTCTCTTATCACCTGTTGCTGATGTACCGGCCTAACAGGATTGGGAGGCTGGGAGGTAGGAACTTGCCAAGAGCAGGCCCAGGGAAATGGTGACCTGGTGCCCTCACCTGGCTGCGATGGTGTAACTGTCATGTTCAGGGAGCTCTCATTAGCCTTGTGATCCCTAAACTGGTTTCCAGTGTGGTCCAACAGATGTCCCTCAGTGCTTATGGGAGCCTCGATAACCCAGGTCAAGCCCGCAGAGCCTGGAAGCATCATGAATGAGGGTTGGGACACCCAGAAGGCTGCCAGTTTTCAGCCCTCCCATCCCTCATTGCCTGCCCTGGCTCTCACTGTCCTGATGCTCATCTTCTGTGTCCTCTTCAGGCTCTGGGTGGGAGTAGGACCTCAGGTATATTCCTTTACTATAATACTCCTTGCGATGCAGATTGATCTGCTTCAACAGGATGGGGCTTGAAGGTGGGAGTAACTGATTTCTGCACGTAGAGGAATCTGAGAAATCATCCAAAGCAATTTGAGTCTGTGGCCACTGGCTGTGTCCATGCATCCCAAGTGTGCATGGTGGGCCGCTACCAGATGAGAGAAGCTCAAGCCCCAAGTTCTCATCTCATTTACTTTTCTTACCCCACCCCCTATTTATTTTTTATTTTTGGCAGTACTGGGGTTTGAACTCAGGGCCTCACATTTGCTAGGCCGGTGTTCTACCACTTGGGCCACTCTGCCAGTTTTGTGTTGGGTATTTTTGAGATAGGGTCTTGCAAACTATTTGCCCAAGCTGGATTTGAACCTCGATCCTCCTGATCTTTACCTCCTGAGTAGCTAGGATTACAGGTATGAGCCACCAGCACCTGGCTTATTTATTTATTTGTAGTACTGGGGTTTGAACTCCGGGCCTCACATTTGCTAGGCAAGCACACTACCACTTGAGTCATGCCCCTAGCTAGACCCATTTTAGAAAACCTTCAATGACCTTTCCATCCCCCAGAGACTCTTGGACCTTCTGTTCCTCACCAGCCAGCCATCTGTGGGGCCCATCCTGAGAGGGAACTCCATTCTTGCTGTCCCCTTTCTTCTTTGGGTTCACCTCTCACCACTGCTTCCCTGTCAGGGCTGTGGGGCAATGCCCACTGAGGAAGAGTATGGTAGCACAGTGAAGAACAGAAAGTCCAAGAGGACAATGGGCTCTGGAAAAGGCTCTGGACTATAATTCCCTTGAGTCCTTGGAGACCCCCATTGCTAACCCTTGTCATCTAGGACGTGGCTTGAAGTCACCAGGTTAGTCTCATCTTTCACTCCTCTGGTCAGTCTTCCTGCCCAGGCTCTCTCCACAGGCCTGGGCTTTGGGTCCATCATCACACCTTGAATTCCACTGCTGATGCTGGTACTACCCCCACTGAAGTCACTGTCATTGTTCAAGGGCAGGTTTTTCTGAGTCTTGAGGAACTTCCCTTCATTGTAGTGTGTCTTGCGATGCTTGTCAAAATCACTGGAGTCTATGGGTCAGTGTGAGAAGTTGGCTTTTCCACCTGGCTCTCACTGAAGAAGGTTCATTCTGCCTCCCCTTTCCATTCAGTGCCCTTCCCACATCTCACGTGTCTTGGAAAAGCGGTCCTCAGCCCTTGAGCTTCTGTTATCACCATACTGGAGGACCTTGGGGAGGAAATTGTCCATTGTTGCAAACCTGAAGGGGAGGGAGACTAGTTGGGGATGCAGAAGAGAGGAAAAAAAATGGGGGCAGATAGGGGTGGGATCAACCCCACCCCTCATTGGTCTTGGTCAGGCCTGATAGGGATTGTGTAGTACCTCCCATTTTAGGGTCCAAAAATTACAGCTGCCTCAGACCTAAGTTCAGGGGGAAAGTGGGAAAGGCCCCACACCCCAACTGACCTCTGACAGGATACTCACCTCTCTGCCAGTGATTCAGGAGTCACCTTGAAGGAGGGCCCCGCAGACAGGTCCTCATCACTGTCCTGCAGCCTACAGAGGAGAGAGCAGTTGGGAGAGGGACACCAGGCAATATCCAGTCCCTGAGGCTTCTCTGCTTCCTCCTCAGTACCCCTTGTTAGAAAAGAGTCTAGGCTGAAAAGCTAGGATGGGGGCTTGGCACCTGTGGTAGGGGGTGCTGGACTCATCCACCTTCATAAAGCCATAGTCCTTGTCAGTAGGGTGGTAGGTGGCCAGGATATTCATCTCATCCCAGTGCTGAGACTTCCTAGAGTAGGGGGAGGACACAGAAAAGGAGACCTTCTAGTGATTTCTCCCTCACAGCCCTCCCTCATTCTTCCAGGCATTCAAAAAACTTTTCTTACACCTCCGTGTAGAGGCTAGGGATGGGATCAGATCCAATGATAACCATGGTAGCTAGGATTTGTAGGGCACCCGTTGCTCTCCCAAAGGCTCAGAACCTCAGATTTCCCGTCCAGTTGCCTTCACCTATCACTCCAAGCTCTCAGGACTCCGCCCCTTCCCCCGAGGCTCCAAACTTCTCCCTTCGATCTCTGAGATCTCTGCCCGTAGTGCTGGGTTTCTTACTTCTCCGCGCTGGGGGAGGTCTGCATCAAAATGGAGCTGCTGTTTTTTAGGATGCTCCGGGGCCGGTCCTCATAGCTGTGATGGTTCAAGCAAGTTGACCCTGAGCGTGCACTGCACCCGGAGCTAAGGCCCCCGAAGTCAGGGCTGGACGCCCCAGGTACACCAGTAGCGTTGAATCCACCAGGAGATATGCCGGTTCCAAGGCTAGGGCTCGCAATCTCCCCAGGGTGCTGAATGGACCGGGAACCTAGGGCCACTACCCCATCTGAGGGCCGGCTTGAACCAGGACTGCGAGTTACGATGCTCCCAGGGTGCAAGGCGGGCCCAGAACTATGAAACAAGGCAACTCCGGAGGGCAGCCCAGAATCTGCTTCGACTCCTCTGACCCCACCGGGTACTCCCCCGGTTGCCCTTTCAGGGAATTCCCCGCTGACGCCGCTAGCAGCTCTCAGAGGTCCTTGCTTCTCCATGGCCCCACCAGGGGGCCACTCTCAGTTAACCGGCCCGGCCTGCCCGCTCCACATAGCCCCGCCCCCAGAGCGGTGATCAGTGGACGCTCGGGCCTGTCCACTCGGCTTGGAGTCGCGGTGGGCGGAAACGAGTCTATATAGGGACCTCAGACTGGAAACCCTTCTGCACGTCCTTCCCTTGTCCCAATCAAAGACTTTCTTCTTTGTCTCCGCAACTTGTTCCCGCCCTTCTCCATCACCGCCCTCATCCGAATCAGCCAATCATAGGCAGGGGGCCTGGCCAGGAGGCGAAAAACCTTAATTGTGACATCACAACCCTCCAACCATAGCGCAAGTATCCGAGTGAGGTTAGGGGCTTGTTAATAGCTCTAGGGAAAAATCCGAATCGTCAGCGCTGTTGCAGGAGACTGCCTGTCGTTGGAATGTCTTTAGACTATTCGTGGCTTCGAAACCTAAGAGTTTGGTTGGAGTTCAAGTTGGGTTTGAAATATTCGCGACCATCCCCTTCCCCCAAATCGGCTTGCTTTGCCTTTCTGGAGAGGTGTGATGCATTGTGAGGTTATTGTGACATTTCCGGTGTGGAGGACAGAGACTTTCATTTATAAAGCTGCCGCTTCTCTGTGTCCTTCACCCCTCGTTTATTACTGCTTTAAAGCGTGTAGCGGGAAGGAAAGACATCCCCCTTGCCGTAAAGAGAATACTTAAATGCGTCGCTTCCCTGGCGAGGGCTGGTCGTCGGGTCAGTTGTCGTAAAGCGTGTTTGGGCGCCAGCACCCCTCTGCCGCAAAGATGCCTGCGGCAGGCGTTTCTTCCACTGTCGCAAAAGCTCCTTGCCCAAGTTTTCAACACGTTCGTGGCCACCTCGTCATCTTGCCGTGCCGTAAAGCAAGCCTCCCCGACCCCGTCGTCCTTCTGTTCCCACCCTGGTAGTTATTAGTTCTTTAGCTTGGGATGCTTCATTGCCTGGCAGTGCCGTAAAGCATATCTGGTCCCAGCCCCTGGTCGTATTCCCTCAGGGTGTCTGTCCACCGCGGTTGCCACGGTGCCGCCAAGCGCGGCTGTCGCGCGGCCCCGGTGTCAGTGGCGATGGCGGCGGGGTCGGGTGGGAGTGGGGGCTCTGGGGGAGGCCCCGGGCCAGGGCCGGGAGGGGGTGGGGGTCCTGCCGGCACCGGCCCAGGACCCGGGTCCAGCGGGGGTCTCGGCAGCGGCGGCGAGCTGCACCCGCGCACTGGGCGCTTGGTGAGCCTGTCGGCCTGTGGGCGTACAGCGCGGCGGCAGCAGCCGGGCCAGGAATTTAACCACGGGCTGGTGTTGAGCCGGGAACCCTTGCGCGATGGACGCGTCTTCACTGTCCGCATCGACCGCAAGGTGCAGAGCTGCGACCGCGGAACTGAGATATGGAGGATGGTGGGAGGGGACCAGAGGGACGGCCAGAAAGCTCACATCACTGGATACTGAGAGGGAACCGAGAGACCATAGGGCACCAGAGAGTGGACAGAAAGAGAGCCTGAAGTGGACACATTTAGTCTGAAGGAGGAGACAATAAGTTGGAAGCCTCAGAATCCAAAAGCAGGAATCCCACCCACTATAATGGCTGGGCAACAGGCTTTCTGGCACAATTTCTTGGGGATGGAGGATAGTGAGATATCAAGGAAAGAACAAACTATTGAAGGACAAAAACTCTCAGGTAGGACCAGAAAGATAGGCGAGGAGACATAAACAGGGAAAGGGAGGTGTATGCGATTTACTTAACTCTGAGAAAGAATTTGGGAGAATGAATCAGTGGAGTCCCCTCCCAGGAGAGAATCAGGCGGGAGGGGATTGATGTACAAGAGCAAGAGGTATGGGCATAGGAAGCATGTGAATTTGGGTGGCTGAATTGCCATAAAGAAAGGGAAGTTAGAAGAGCAGGGGGTTGGAAATTAACTTGATTTTTCTTGGGGAAAGAAGTGGTGTGAGCACTTTAGTACAGTGCAGAGTTCCTAGGGGAGAGAAAGCCCAAATAATCATTGAGGCAGGGTCTGGAATTTACCTTTGAGTCTGCATCTCTGGATTAGTGTCTGAGAGGTGGTGAGAGAGGGGACCCAGTGCCCTGTGGAATGTGGTTTCCTAGTGGGTGGGAGACTCACTGGTGGCTGGCCCATCCTGAATCTCTCTGTGCACTACCCTCATCATAGGTCAACTCCTGGAGTGGCTCCATTGAGATTGGGGTGACAGCGCTGGACCCCAGTGTGCTGGACTTCCCAAGCAGTGCCACAGGATTGAAAGGGGGGTCATGGGTAGTGTCAGGGTGCTCTGTGCTGAAGGATGGGCGCTCCGTGCTGGAGGAGTATGGTCAGGACCTGGACCAGCTTGGCGAAGGGGACCGTGTGGGTGTGGAGCGCACAGTTGCTGGGGAGCTTCGGCTCTGGGTGAATGGGAAGGATTGCGGTGTGGCTGCCACAGGCCTACCCTCTCGTGTCTGGGCTGTTGTGGACCTTTATGGCAAGTGTACCCAGATCACTGTGCTCCACCCTGAGCCAGGCTTCAGCCCCTCTATGTCCATCCCCACACCTCCCCTCGAGCCCTTGGCCCCACCTGAGGATTCTGCATTGGCTCAACAGGGAACCTCTGGGGAAGAAGGTGAGAACACAGCTAGGGCACTGGTGAGGGGATGGGGCTGAAGTCAAATGCAGTGACTAGCCAGTCTGGGTGTTGGGCAGGGCCATTCAGACCCCAGAGTCTGTTACTGGGGAGAGCAGGGTCTAAAGGAGAGGGTCTCCTGGCTGTGGGCCCAGAAGCAGGAGCTGAACCCTTATTCCCCTCCCATCCCACCTGGTCCCCAGCCTTCATGGTATCCCCAGCGCATGCCCGGCCGGAGACGTTTCCTAACAGCCTTGAGTCGCATAATGGTGAGGGCTTCGGGGAAGCCCAGGGAAGGGGAGTGGGCAGTGAGGTGGACAAGGGTGGGACCTCAAGTGGGGTAAGGAGAGAGGTCTCCAACTCTGAGATTGTAGAGCCTCATCTTGGCTTCCTTTCTTCAACATGTTCCTGTAGACTTTGCCAGAATGGAGCTCTCTGAAGTGGTGAGCAATGCCATCCTGTCTGCTTATAACGGGGGGCTCCTGAATGTGAACCTGAGCTCCCCGCCAGCAGGGGATGGAATGGGATCTAGTGGTGCTGCCACCTCACCAATCCTCACTTCCAACGACGCCCTACTCTTTCATGAGAAGTGTGGCACCCTCATCAAACTCAGTAACAATAATAAGACTGCTGAGCGCCGGAGGCCCCTGGATGAATTCAACAATGGGGTTGTCATGACCAACCGCCCACTTCGGGACAATGAGATGTTTGAGGTGTGCAAGACCCTGGGGTCTGGCTGGGTTTCATGGTCTAAAATAAGGCTTGATCCTTGATACCAGGAGGGTTGGGCCTGGGAGAAAACCAAGAGCTGACGGACCTTTCTCTGCACTTCCGTCTGTTATCCTCAACCCCAGATCCGTATTGACAAGCTCGTAGATAAGTGGTCAGGGTCCATTGAAATTGGTGTTACTACGCATAACCCCAACAGCCTGGAGTATCCAGCCACCATGACCAACCTTCAATCAGGTACCAGCCCTAGGCAGGGGTGGGGATACAGGCTTGGGGTTTCTGAGGGTAACAGAGTGTGTACCCTAACCAGATATCCATGTCCACTCAGGCACCATCATGATGAGTGGCTGTGGAATCCTGACCAATGGCAAGGGCACCCGCAGGGAGTACTGTGAATTCAGTCTTGATGAGCTGCAGGTGAGGGTGGGGCACAGCCCCCTAGGACCAGTCCAGAAGAGTCCCAGGTACTCTGTGGCATATTAGGGGAGCTACATTTTTCTGCTTTGACTAGGAGGGTGACCATATTGGCCTCACACGGAAGTCCAACTCTGCTCTGCACTTCTTCATCAATGGCATTGACCAGGGTAAGGAAACACTGAGGGAGGGCTGCTGACCCAGGGCTGTCACTGGGATCCGGACCTCATCCTCCTACCTCTGTAGTGCTTACTCTCCCTATGTTTGATTCTTCTCCCCTCATTTTCCTCCATCACAGGTGTGGCTACCCCATTGACACCCCCAGTGGTATACGGTGTGGTGGACTTGTATGGGATGGCTGTGAAGGTGACCATTGTCCACAATAATAACCACAGTGATCGTCTCCGCCGGAACAATGCCATCCTGAGGGCGCTGTCCCCTGAGGGTGCTCTCCGCCGTGCTGCTCCTGTTGCCCAGGCAGAACCTGAACGCCTGCTCTTCCACCCCAACTGTGGGCAGAAAGCAGCCATTACCCACGAGGGACGCACTGCCCTGAGGCCCCAGTATGGCCCACGGGGTGGGGAGAAGCCTGCAGAAGGGACTTTAATGGCATTAGGGGTGGGGGGCTGGAATGTGGGAGGCAGAAGGAGTCTTGTCTGGGGAGTCCCGAATAGGAAGGTGGGGAGCCTACTGGAATATGAGGTCTGGATGGTTGGCTTGGGGCAGTGGGTGTTGGGCAGGCATTGCTGGAGTAAGTCTTGGCATATTCAGTGTGTGTTGGGATCTGAATTCCCACTTGCTGTGTCTTCAGTGCCACTGATGACTTCAATCATGGCGTGGTACTGAGCAGCAGAGCCCTGCGGGATGGAGAGGTGTTTCAGGTGCGCATTGACAAGATGGTGGACAAATGGGCTGGCTCCATTGAGATTGGTGTTACTACCCACAACCCTGCCTACCTCCAGTTGCCCTCTACTATGACCAACTTGCGCTCTGGTGAGCTCCCAAGAAGGGCAGGGCTGGGACTGGGTCCTAGAGAAGAAGCTGTGCCCACATTCTTGGCCCTTGCTCTCTAACCCCTCCCCCCCCTCACCTTTTTGTGGCGGTACTGGTGTTCAAACTCAGGGCCTCACACTTGTTAGGCAGATGTTCTACCACTTGAACCACTTTGCCAACCCCTCTAGCTCCTTTTTTTTTTTTTTTTTTGTGATACTGGGGTTTTGAACTCAGGACATACACCTTGAGCCACTCTACTAGTCCTTTTTTTTTTTTTTTTTTTTTTTTTGAGATAGAGTCTTGTGAACTGTTTGCATGGGCTGGCTTCAAACTGCAATCCTCCTGATCTCTGC